GTTGCTAGGAGACGGCTTCTTTTGGGCTTCTTTCCTTTCTTTGTCTCTTGTTCTGGGACCTTCTCAGTCTATGGCTCTGTACTCCTGTTAGTGTGATCCCAAAATTAGCAAGGATTCCTGCTGATGTGCAGAGGCGTCCACGTTAGGGACCTCAATGCTTCAGCCCCCTCGGAACGGCAAAGCCTTCTTTGGGTCCCGGTGAGAATGTTGACAGCGTATGCAGAAAACGCCCACCACAGCTTTCCTCCTCCACCATGTTTACATCCTAAAGATCCTACGTCCCTGCAGAGTCTGCTCCTACCAAGATTAACTGAGCCTGTTTCCCGGGTCAACTTTATATACTAAGCCTGCCTCCTTATGTATCTATACGCGATAGCTCCACTTCCCTGTTCAGCTGTCTGTGGTTTCGCCATTCAAGAGTTCAGTACACCTTATCTCACCCCCGCCCACCTCTCTGCGCGCCCCCTTTTCACTCTCACATTGTCTCTAGTCACGGTTCAGGAATTCAGGCTGTGTGAGGATGAGGCACTTCCTCCCTACTCATCTCGAAGAAGACAGTCTTTCCTCTTCACAATTTAATCCAGTACACACATTCAAGACCTGGCTGGGTTTTCACCAAACCAAAAAGTTTATGAACTAGTATTTACCTTCACCAAGGGCAATGCACATTTCTCTGTGTTAGATTCAATTCTTAAATGCTCTGTTGCAGATGTGATTGTCTAAGACAGCAACCTTCTCTAGACAAAACTATAAACCATGTCTGTTGGTTGCAGAGGAATTGCCAAAGAGCAATTTATGCCCAGGTCAGGGGATAGTGACTTGATTTTGATATGGCAGAGAGGTTCCCAAATTTTGTATGAGAAAAAGATGCTCCGTATGGAATATTCCTTTACGCTATGTGAACATATGTTGCTGTGATTGTTTTAATTAAGAAGCTGCCTGGACAATAGTGGAACAGGATAAGGTTAGGCAGGAGAGCCAAACTGAGACTCCTGTAAGGAAGAAGGACAAAGAAAGGAGTCTCAGGTCTAACATAGAGAAAGCAAGATGTGTACAAAATGAGGTAACAAGCCATAAGCCAGGTGGCAAAGCATAGATAAGAAATACAGATTAGTTTAAATGTAAGAGTTAGTTAGTAATAAGCCTGAGCTATTGGCCGAGCATTTATAATTAATACTAAGCCTTTGTGTGGTTACTCGAGAGTGGCTTGACAGAAACTTCTGCCTACAACTCTAGATAATATTTATTAGATGATTTGTATATAGGGGTTGTGTGTATGTGTGCATACATTTAGTATGTCCAGGTGCTTGCTTATGTGGGAACTGGAGGCCAACATCATGGTGTCTGCTGCTGTTGCTCTCTGCAGTGGCTCATCTTGGTGGCAACTCAACTACATCTGGAAGTAACTACAACGCAAGCAACTGGGCACACCTGTGAGGAACTCTTGATTGGATCGTTGGTGGGGGGGAGACCCACCCCAAATCTGGGCCACGCCTTCTGTTGGCGGCCTATATAAAAGGACTTAGAAGAAGGAAACATTTTGCCTGCTTGCCCTCACTCCCGCTGGCAAGGTCATCTGCCCTCTGCTGAGGCAGTCCTTTATCTGCATGAGAACCTACCCCTTTGGGATTCTAGGGTAAACTGAAGACAATTGAAACATCCAGCCTCACGGACCAGACAACTATTGGATTCTTGGGCTCTCCACTGGGAAACAGCCACTGCTGGACTAGCTGGACCACTGCCTGTCAGCCATTCTAATAAATTCCCTTTATATATATATATATATATATATATATATATATATATATATATATATTGTTCATCCTGGTAGCTCTGTTCCTCTAGAGAGCCTTGACTAATACATTCTCCATATTATTTTTCTGAGGCAATGTCCTAGCACAATTTCTGTTGCTGTGATAAACCCTACAACTCAAAGCAATCTGAGGAGGAAATGGGTTTATTTCATCTTACAGGTTGCAGACAAATTACTGAAGGGAGTCAGGGCAGCAATTAGAGCAAAAGCCACGAAGGAAAGCTGCTGACTGTTTTCTCTAGCATCTGCTCGGCTGACATAGCTCAGGCTTATCTGCTGAGGGATGCTACCGCCCGCACTGGACTGGGGCACCTTACATCAGTTAGTAATTAAGAAAATATCCACCGGGCAATGGCGGCGCACGTAATCCCACACCACTTGGGAGGCAGAGGCAGGCGGATCTCTGTGAGTTCGAGGCCAGCCTTGTCTACAAGAGCTAGTATCAGGACAGGCTCTAAAGCCACAGAGAAACCCTGTCTTGAAAAAACAAACAAAGAAAAGAAAAGAAAATATCCATACAACTATTCCCCAGGCCAATCTGAGTCCCCCAGTTGAGACTCCCCCAGATAACTCTGGGCTGTCAGTTGGAAGATGCAGCTAACTAGGAGACTGAAGTTAAAGCTCAACTGTGTTTGGCTAGGCTATCTGGTCAACCTCCATGGTCTATCTTGTTTCACTCACTCCAGCCCTGAGATCAGGGATATACAAGCTGCCATGCCTGGCTCGCGTGTAGTGCCGGGGACCCAAATTCAGATTTTCATATTTAGACCTGTATCCACTGAGCCACCATCTGCCCAGCCCTTACTACACTATTTTAAGGACACATTTAGAATAATTTTTGATAGTGGTGATTATTCGACACCTATAAAAGCATAATTCTAGGAATAGATGTACATAAATTATCAGAAATGCTCACAAAATACTCAGGGATCACGAGCTTTGTTTTCAGAAAAAGCTGTTTCTGCTTCCCCCAGCTCAGCATAGCCTTTTAATTTTTGCTGCTGTGATCAAGTATTAAATAACCCTCTATACCTTCAACTGTGATTAGTGATTTGTCTCTACATTACTGCAAATGAAATATACATTACTGCATATCGAAACTATTATCCAATATTTGGGAATTTGTTGTTCATAACAGTTTTGCATACAGCCACCAAAGATAGAAATAAAAAAAAATGAAAAGATAAACAAAAAATGGCAGAACACATGCCATGGAATAACACTCACCCTTAGCAAGGAGGAAATGCTGACACACATGTAACATGCATGAAGCTAACATGCTAAGTGAAATTAGCTACTCACAAAATAGACACAAAGGTTTGACCCCGTTTAACTGAGGTAATCTGAAGTAGCCCCGTCCATAGAGACAGGGACTGGAATGGTGTTTGCTGAGGGTCTGGGGAGGGGACAGACAGTGAACTAGGACAGATTTTAATTGGGCGACACCCCGGAAGAATCCCCTGGGCAACTATGAGCAGCTACTTCAACTATGAGAAGAATCTTCTTCTGCCATGGTCCATTATTTCCTTTTTGCGTAACCTCCGCGGGGAACCTTCTAAGATTCCCGTGAAGTCTCATGAGCTTCTCTGCTCCTCCCATGAGGAGGTGTCAACAGACCAGAGAGTTTATGGGACTCGTGTGTGATTGCAGTGGAAAGGAAGAAGAATGAACGGAGGTCAGGGCTTCAGTTCTGTACAGGGTCTAACTGTTTCAACTTTATTATCGTATGAGAGTGTGCACACATGCCTGAGTGGAGATCCGAGGACACAAGGAGTCTGTTCCTCCCTTCTACCTTGAAGTATGCCCCACGTTGATTATAGTATTGACCACAGCAGTCAGGATGCTGGAATCATCCTGTGTGTTCTTCCGTGTCTGTCACAGGTCCTGCAAGGCCGGCTGATTTGAGCTTTGCCATTATAGAGCTGGATTCTCTCTGCAGTCTAAAAAACAAACTCAGGAGCGAAGAGTAGAATGTTGTCTACTTAGAGTTGAGGCAGGGGGGGAGTTAGGAAGAGATATTGGTTAAAAGAGATGAAATTTCCGTTAGAATGTCCAAGAGATCTACCGTCCAACATGGTGACTGTAAACAGTGGGGCACAGCCTGGAAGATTACTACAATAGCTTGTCGGTCTCCTCACCACAAAGGGTGAGCTATTAGCTCCATGTAGCATGCGCACTTCAAAGAATCACAAGTGTACAACATAAATATACATCCATTATTTGTCAACTCATTCCTTGAGTTTAAGAATAATGGAACAAACAGGTGTGACTCCCTCCCAGTAACCTGGGATTGTAATATTAATGTAGAAACAGAGAGCGCAGAGGGACTGCAGCCGGTTGAAGGTTCGCTTGATCCCTCCAGCTGACACCACCAGGGTGACCTGGGCTGCAGAAGGACACTGCACAGTTCTAAGAGTTGTTAGTGTGGCAAAACACAGGGTTGCATGGGTGCTGTAGTAGAGAGTGAATAACTATGCAAATCAGAGAGCTCTTTGCCCCACCTCTGCTTGACCTATGGTAGGAGGTTAGCTATCACTCTCCTGCATATACATTTACACACACATGCGCACGCGCACACACACACACACACACATCTACCTACCTTTTCTGCTTGGCCTATGGTAGGAGGTTAGCTATCACTTGCCTGCATACACTTTTACACACACACACACACACACTTTCCTCTTCTGCTTGACCTATGGTAGGTTAGCGATCACTTGCCTGCATACATTTTTACACACACACCTCTTCTACTTGACCTATGGTAGGAGGTTAGCTATCCCTTGCCTGCATATACATTTATACACACACACACACACACACACACACAACCTTCTGCTTGACCTATGGTAGGAGGTTAGCTATCACTTGGCTGCATATTCTCTCTCTCTCTCTCTCTCTCTCTCTCTCTCTCTCTCTCTCCATGCTTTCTCCAGTCTCTGTGTATCTCTTCTTTTTGTTTCTGATTTCTAATTCCCTCCTTGCCTCTGCATCAAGATTTTTTTTTAAAGGAAAAACACAAACTATTGAAAGGCTATGCACTTGGCTCCATTATTCAGATCCACAGTTTTGAATTTCCTGCCTCAGGCCCAAACCACAGATTTCTTCTCCAGGATGAGAAATGAAACCCAGCTCAAGCCTGGCTCCTAACAGCTGGATATTTAGCCATGCGACTCCAGTCGGGCAATTTCACTGCTCCTTTGGAATTTTATTGAAGGGTTCCAAGCAACATTAACAGAACAAGGTTCCCTGTAAGAATATCATATACCAACTTAGTTGTGACATGAATGTCATTAATTTACAGAAATTAACATAATGAACACATAACGGGGAAATGTTCCTGAAAAGAGGCAAGGGAACATTAAACAACAAGACAGAACTATCTTGGAGAACAGACAACACAAAGGGGGTTCGGTTCGGCTTTAGGGCAAATTGAGGTCAGGGCCCTATGTCTGTGTCTTCAAAGGCCCAAGGTTTTGGATGAGGCAGCTCAGGAAAGTGTCCAGCCGATGCCTGGACCTATAGGCTATCAGTCCTCCCTTGTTGGCCCAGAGATCCACTCCAGAAGCACCTTCGTTTTCTGTGTGATACAACAACTGCGGCAAGTCCAGCCCCGCTTGGGGACTTCGCGCCAAGCACTCTTTCATGTCTACCATGCCCCCACCCATGGCCCTCAGAATGGCGTGGGCGGCACAGGAGTCCCACTTGAACGTGGTGTCCTCTGAGAAGATGTAAATGTCAACCAGGCCTTGGACTACACAGAGGCTCTTGTAGCCGGCCCCCGCTGCCGGGAAGACGCCGCCTCCGCACACTCGGGACAGCGCGGTTTTGATGGCCTCGTTCTCGCTGGTACTGATGACTGCGGAAAGGGGGCGGGAGAGCTCCCCGTCTGAGTTTTCAGTCTGGGTTCCACCGCCGGTCCCTTTAGAGAGGGTGATCTGCAGGGAATGGATGTTGGTCCCCATGTAGGAGAGGCCCCAATAGTACTGTCCCTTCCACCTGCCGGAAACAGGTTTAGTTGGTTGATTAGCATGCTGGTTCACGCAGGCACCTTTCAAATATAACGATATGAAGAATGCACAATGCCTCAGAGCAAATTGGGTTTTAATGATCCTGAGCCTATAAATGGACATCAAGCTGCTAATTAATTCTAAGCAGACTGCAAACACACAAGTGCCCGTGTTACTGTGAAAGAAACACTGACTCTACCTCGCCTCCTACCTGTAACATGAAGGGGCCTGGTTGTTGGGGTTTTCTGTCCCGCCCAGCCCCCCAGCTATTTAGTCCCAGAGAAAAAAATTATACAAGAGATCTCTATAAGTTATAAAGCTGATGGGCCCATTAGGTCAGGCTACTTATTAGCTAACGTTCATATCTTGATTAACCCATTTTTCTGATCTATTTTAGCCATGTGGCTCAGTACCTTTTTCAGTGGGGCAGCTCACATCCTGCTGCTTAGGTGATCTGGGCAGGAGTGGGAGGAATCAACTTCCTCCTCCCCAGAATTCTCCTGTTCTCCTTGCATCATTTCCACTTCCTGTCTGGTTTTCCCACCTACACCTCCTGCCTGGCCAATTAGCGTTTATTTAAAACATGATTGACAGAATACAGACAATGCTCCCGCACCACCTACCCAGCAGGGATAACACTAGGCAAGCGCTGGTAGGAACTCTGACCTCTAAAAACAACGCCAAAGCTCAGTCCTGCTTTTGTCATTCAAAGTCCCAGAGGAAAAGAGACAGGTCTAAATCTACTTGTAAATCTCCTCCTCTTTATTCTGAGTCTCTACGCTTCACTTTGACTTCTAACACCAAGTAAGATGGACTCCTGTCATTATTTTTGGCAACAGTAATAACAGCTTTGTCTCTCCACCTCCCCTCCTGTCAGGGACTCCATTTACAGATTAGAGGTTACCTGTAGGGAAAGCAAGTAACTTGCTAAAGTGGCCTGGATCCTTAAGTGGTGAAACCTGAATTCAAACCTGGTTCGCCCCTGAATCTGAGGCCCCCCCATGCCCGAAGCTGGCCTTGGAGTCCTCTCGTGTCTCTGGAGTGCTGGGCTTACAGGTCACTAATATGTTTTAATGACCTTTTAAAACATTACCAAAATAGCTTGAAAAAAAAACTGGAGGAGGGGAAAATCAACACTTAAAGAACAAAGGATTCTTATCTGAAGCATCCTGAAGACAAATGAACACAGGCAGTCCTACGTAATAGAGGCTGAAAGTTATTTTCAATGAGAAGGAAAAGGGTCCGCTGCCTCTGCTGGGACTCCGCTACGCCCAGGAGTCATCCCCCAACACAGAGGCCTGGCCACTATCCAGGCTGTGACAGGGGAGTAGTGGAAAGGTGGGGGCGGAGGAGGACAGCTTCCACACTGATGCTGGCAGTATTTGAAAGGGGTTAATCAACCCTGGCTATATCTGACCGTCATTTCCCTAAATACTTTCCACGTTTGGTTCTGCATTTCTTCCACCATAACACAGAAATTCACCTGGCCACATAGTGGTGGCATCTACCGTGTTCCAATGAATTAGAGGACAGTGTTGAGCATTAATCTACATGTGTGGTTTTCAGTGGCTTTTAGAAACAGGAATAGCATTGCTATATCTCAAATGCAAAGCCATGGTTCCTCCGAGGCCGTATTAATTTCTTTTAAAGCATCAATGTGCACATACACCCAAGCAAAACCCTGCCAAATCCAGGAATGAAGAGAGGAGGCATCTTAATTCAGCCCTGTGGACTCACAGTGGGAAACACCATAGAACCCAGTCGTGGGAAGGCCATGTGGAGTGACCGTACTAACAAGCAAGACTGAGACCTGGCGACCAAAACCAGAAACGTCTTTTACCTTAGCGTAGTTAGATTCTGAGACACAAAAGGCTGGTTGATGACTCCCATCAGGGGCACGCCTGTCTGTATGTCATAGACACCAATCAAAATCGTCACACACTGAAGCCCACTGGGGAAGACTCCCTGGTTGGATTTCACATTGGCAGAACCTTTAATATACTGATAGGTTGAATCTGAAAAACGAAGTAAACATACAGGTACAGACGGGCTATTAGATCATGGTGGCTCTATCGAGGATTTTTGTCCTGTGTAAGTTCCCCTTCTAATTTAGTAACTTTTCAGATTTCGTCACTGGGCACCGCCTGCCCTGAATCATTTGCACTCAGACATATCATTGCTTATATTGCGTTCAGTGTATGAGAACTTTAGGAAAAAATGTGTTGTCTTGAGACAGGGTCTCTGTGCAGCACAGGTGGGGGTCTCTAGCTGGAGATCTTCCCGTCTCCGCCCTGGAAGCCTGAGAACTCTTGGAGGAGGAGAACATGGCCACAGTCCTGTGGAATCTAATACTGCACCTTGCATATAACAAAGCCTCTAAGGCCGCTAAGGGCTGGGAAGACGACTCAGTGGGTAAAGTACTGAAGGTATGAGGACCTGAGTTGGGATTCCCGGCACCCACGCAAGATGTCAGGCAGAGCAGGTGACTCTTAAAAAGCCCAGTGCAGGGGAGGAGGCGGAGGCAGGAGGCTCTTCTGGGGATGGCTGGGCTGCCAGTCTAACGGAATAGGTGAGTTTCAGGTTAGGCAGGAAAGGAATGAGAAAGACACACTACGCCCTGTGCTGTGTGCACAGGAGCGTGCACAACCCCTTAAAAACACACTGAAATGGCCAACAGCTCCTGATAACTGGGTGGGGTGTTTTGGTTTTGGTTTTTAAGAACTGTTCCTCATCCGAGGACTGGAATAATCTGAGATGGACAAGCTTCCGGGGATCTGCCAGATGCGGAATGGCCTCTCTTTGTCATTGCCATTCATCTCTCCAAGCTGCAAGGAAGGAGATGATGAAGCCGGCCTAACAGGGAAGAGGGCCAGCATCACAGTGCTTGTGAGGGTGGATCTCGGTTCTCAGCCTGATCGGATCTGGGATCAACTAAGAGGTATGGATCTGGGCATGTCTGGAGGTGTTATCGGGAAGCATTGTGGAGGGGGCGCAATCCTCTCTCAGAGTGGGCAGCACCTTTCAGGAGCCCAGTTATAAAGACACATGAGGCAAAGTGGTGTTGATTTTGCCTTCCTGCTTCCCTCCTTGCTGGTGCAAGCACCTACTCTTCTGCTGCTGCTCCTGTTGCTGCTGCAGTTGCTGCTGCTGGCATCCTTCACTGACAGAAACACATTAGCATCTCTGAACTTCCGACAGGGACAGAAGACCAGTTGTCTCCAGGGATTCCCCAGGCCTCAGGACTGACTGGCACTGCTGAGGACCGACCAGCTACTGGCCTCATCAGCATGCGACAGTCATTGGTACAGTCCCAAGTCCCCTGAGTTAGCACACAGTGAAGACCATGCCTGGCCAAAGACCCAGGGACACAGACAAACACCTATTCAGGGCGTAACCAAGACAAAGGAGATGGCTTTCCTCAGCACTGTAACAAACATCAATTTACCCTGACATGACCGGAGGCTTGGGGGGAAATTCTTAGTGTTCATATCCGATGCACGGACTGCATGTTATGCAGCTACCCAGTGTAAGAAAAGCCGCCGTGTCATGTCGTGTGTGGCACAGGACGGTGACAAAGTATAATGTTCGCCACCAATTGTGTCAAGCAGGATCGACCGGGGAGATGGGAAAGTCGGGAGATGTTACGTCTCGGGACCTTGTAGTGACAGGCGCTGTTTCAGAAGCAAGTAAACTGTAATCGTGATAATTCTACCACAACAAGGACCAAGGCTTGGGAGGTTTAACGTCGGCTGGCCGGTCACCCAAGCCCCGTTCAGTCGTTTTCGCTTGACTACGGTTCTGACTGTTGCCTAACTGAATGAGCAGCCCATGCTTTTAAAGCTCGCAGCTCTCCTGAAAAACACCGGTTTGGGCTTAGCGTTTTAAAATCTGGAGATCCAGCCTTACGCGCAGACGGCAAGAATCTGTTAGGACTGCGCTTCCTCGGAGTGATGCTCATTGTGGTCACTTCACATTCTCACGGATTTACCAGACATTTAAAGATCCATTAGTGCACACTGTGTGAGTGGATATGTGTGTGTGTGTGTGTGTGTGTCACGGTGTATCTGATGCCCTCTCTGGCCTCCACAGGCGCTGCACACACATAGCGTATGGGTGTGCATGCATCCGTACACATCATAAAGCAAGAATAAAGGAAAATAAAGAAAGTAACTTCTCTGGACAAGACATAACTATTGCACCTATAATCTCACAGCAGCAGTGGTTCCTATATAGGACCTGCGTGAAGCCAAGGTATCCAGACTTCCAGTCCAGACTGTGGATGGCTCGTGAGGAGCTGCTGGGGGAGGGGTGTAGCTCTTTGCGCAGGGGTGTAGACCCCCATACTCCTGTGCACGGCCCACACTCCAGCACCTAACTGGGCAGCATTAACAGACTTAGTGAGTTTTAAAAAAAAAAAGACGTGAAATTAAGAGAGGAACACATTTGGGAGGTCTGGGAGGAATTGGGGGGCATAATCATATTTATCATATTTCATTGTACACGTGGATGAAATTCCCAAATAATAACGATAACGAATGTTCCAGGAGATCTAGACTATCTAGTTCTAATGATTTCTATTTTCTGGAGCCGCCCTGACCCCTCAAGAACACTGAGGCACAAATGAGTAGGAGCCCCGCACTTACCTATGGGGTCCACCCAAATCCCCAGAATGTCCTGTGGGACCCTGATCTCCAAGGACTCCAAAGTGGGGTCAGTTAGGTCCACATCCTGGTGCACCACCTTCGCCAGCGCTTCAGACGCCGGCACGTTGCCATCCAGGACCCTGCTGAGAAGCTCTGCTGTCTCCTCCTCCGTGGACCGCAGCTCCACAGTGATCTTCTCCCCTAGAAGGAAGACAAATTAGAGCCACCGCTCCTTGAGAGTTTCAGGGAGAAGACCGGACCGCGGGAGGCAGAGGGGCAGCGAGGAGAGTGGACAGTTGAGCTGAGCTCTTGGGTTAGGTGGGAGCAGTATGTTCACAGCGCTGGTTAGGAAACCCTGCCAGGATCCTCTGCAGCTCTTTAGAAAGCAGTGGACACGTGGCTCTGTGGCCGTCCTCTCGGTGGAGAGGTTAGGGTCCAGGACTCAGCCTGCTCCCCCAGAAAAGTAACTACAAGGGCAAAGGTTTGCATTAAAGGAACTCCACACAAAAGTCGAAATTCTTCGGCTTCAATAATTAGTCTGTTACTTAGTTTTGTCTTTTGACTTTTCTCTGTCCGTGTTGGAATGTCACTGGAAAAGACAGAGGTCTTATCCACATACGGAAATGCTTCTGCTTCCTTCTGTAATGCTGCTTTTAACAAAAAAATAGTGTTTATACTCAGGAGTATCAGATGAAGCACAGTAATCTTTGACTGCAGAACTTAGTGGCTCAAAAGTGACAGACAAAAACTCTCCTCGGTGACAGTCGTTGGAAGTCAGATGTGAGCAAGCCACCTCTCCAGCAGAAGCAGAGTGTGAAGAGGCAGCTAGATTCCCATCTCTTGAAACATGCATCTTAGGCCCCTGGTCTGGAAGCTAGCATCCAAGAGAAGAGGAACAAAAGGGGCTGGGAAGGAGGCAGAGTTAGCACAAACCTAAAACCCCAGCACTTGGGAGGTATATGCTGGAAAATTCGGACTTTAATCCAGCTTGGGCTACATATCAAGTGGAAGGTCACAGTGGGCCAATGAACCCTTTTCCCCACAATAGCGAAAGCACCACATACTAACAGTAAGGAGTGACATGGGTGTGGTAAGACATGACCATAATTCCAAGACTCAGGAGGAAGGCTTGAGCTGAAGGCCAGCCTGGGCTACCTCGTGAGACCTTTTTAAAGGGGAAAAAAACCAGGCATACAGATCCATGCTCCGACCTGCTTCAGCAGGTCCAACCAGCAGCAGCTGGGCGCTTGTTGGAAACAATACTTCATGAACTCCCTAGATACTGAATTTCCAGAAAAGCCTGAGGTCGTGAAATGATGAGCTCATTTCACTCCAGTGGGAATCCATCACAGCCATAACTGAGCTTTTGCTTGTGTCTTCGGTGCTGGAGATTCTGCCCCGGGTCCCGGGGAATGCTGGGTAGGCATTTCGACCTTCGAGCTGCATCTCCAGCCCAGAGCAGCACCTCTGAGCCACCAAGCAGCAGCCACTGAAATACGGCTTGCCACTTCCAGCTTACTAACCGCCAAGGACCACACTCAGATGAGCAAAGCATAGGACTCCCATGCTAAGCTTGACCATCTGTCTCCATCACACTTGGGGGAAGTCCACGCTCCTGCTGTGACCCACCCCACTGGAGTTCCAGTTGGTACAACAGCCTCACTCCCGGCTCCCTGTTTCTCTGTCATTTTGCAGACAGGAAAAATAAATATAGAACAGCTTTTGCCTTTTTTTAGTTCTAGACAAATGAAACATTAAATTAACTATTTATGAAACAGTCAAATGTAGGATTGCAAATTAGGATGCATTGTGTGATACTCATAATAATTATTTTTAACTTTTGGAAGTATGAATAAGATTTCTGTCTTCTTTCTTGGAGCCATAGGAAAGTGTAGAAACTTTTAGATACATAGAAATGTATATAAAAAGCCAGGGGAGTGGTTCGTGCCTGTGGTCTCAGCTACTCTGGGAGTTGAGGTGAGGAACGACTTGAACCAAGAGCTTGAGACAACACAGCAAGGTCCCACCTCAAACAGCACAACAAGAACAAAATAAAATTAAAAAGTTGGTATGGAATGGTGGTGTAGGAGGTCTTTCTGTTCGTGTGTTGCTTTCATTGGTTAATGAATAAAGAAACTGCCTTGGCCTTTTGATAGGGCAGAACTTAGGTAGGCAGGGAAAACAGAAATGAATGCTGGGAGGAAGAAGGGCAGAGTCAGGAGAAGCCATGGATCCTCCGCCTGAGACGGGCAGCGCCGGTTAGAATCTTTCCCAGTAAGTCACGACCTCGTGGTGACATACAGATTAATAGAAATGGGTTAAATCAAGATGTGAGAGTTAGCCAATAAGAGGCTAGAGATAATGGGCCAAGCAGTGATTTAATTAATACAATTTCGGTGTGGTTAATTTGGGGTTAAGCTAGCCGGGCAGCCGGGAATGAACAAGTGGGCCCTCCTCCCTGCAACACAATGGAAACTTCTAGTTTATTTCAGCTACCTTTACAGAGATTCAGAGATGAAATGCAGAGGGTACTGGAGCAACATCACACATTCCTTTAGGACTGAGGGATCTGCTACACACTTAGCCTAGAGCTGTAGAGTCCAGGGTGTCCCCAAATGGGTTTAAATCCCTGCGAGGCACTGTCCACTCAACTGTGTAGACAAACATCTTTCTGGGGCATCAACCATCCCATTAGATTTTCAAAAGGCTATAGAATTTTCCCAAAGGCTAGGTCTCAATGGCTAAAATGCTGAAGGTTTAAACTTAGAATGATGCATGGGCTCCTAAATTATTCCAAGAAACCACCTCACCTCTCTCTAACTCAAACGCCATCCTATTCTGAGGTAGCGCCTACATACAGCTTTACATTTAAGCATGTGAGGCTGTCTATACCCAAAGTTTTCTAGCATTCATTTATTTTATGCTTTGAGTTAGAAATTAGAACACTATGATTAAGTTATAAAACACATTAAGGTTCTTCTACTTACCCAAATCATTTGTAAATTCATTGGATTCTTCGCCAAAAATTTTTTTCCCCAAGCCTGGAAACTGAATGAGTCAGAGTTTGAAACACAAACCAACAACCCCCAGCCCCACAGATCAGCTCTGAGGAGAGTTCCACAGGTTAGATTTGAAACTCCAAACTTTCATAGTAAGAGTCAGCTTGGGCGTGGAAAATGAAGCCAGCTTCATTATGGGCTAATATTCGTTCTGTCTATTTTCCTATTCCTTTGCCAGTCTAGAAAACGTAATCCATGCTGAGATTAGGCTTCCTTATGTGCTATTAGCTTTCTGCTGGAGTGCCACGGGGCTGGATGGCCACGGGGCTGGATGGCCACGGGGCTAGGTAGCCACAGTACTGGACAGTCACAGGGTTGGGCAGCCACAGGGCTGGATGGCCACAGGGATGGGTAGCGACAGGACTAGGGACATTTATTAACCCTGCTCTTAAACACCAGCCTGTGAAAACTCATGTTATTGGCTAATGTCCTTAAAATAATCTCATTTTAAAAATTTTTTTAAGATTCATTTTTGCATTTTATGTATATGGATACTTTGCATATATGTCTGAACACCAGAAGAGAGAATCCGATCCATCATAAATGGTTGTGATCTGCCATACGGGTGTTTGAACTCCAACTCATGTCCTCTGAAGAACAGTCAGTGCTCTTAACCACTGAGCCATCTCTCTAGTCCCTAAGATAATTTCTAAAGGTACCTAAAGACTAGAAGGTAATCTTAGATTTTATTTTCATTTTCAGATAACATCTCTGCACCTGCCGGTGTGTCAAAGGAAAAAAAGGAGAAAAGAAAAAGAAAAAGAAAGAAAACCAGTACTGTAGGGACCTATGACATAAGTATAGGTATAGAGTGAATGGAAATTAAGTGAGACTTTCCTCAAATTTTCATATCACTGTTCAGATGAACACATTTCACCCCTGGCCCTCAGAAGATATTTTTTCTCAAAATACATGCTGACTCCAATATTCCTGCTATTTTCAGGGAAGGGATTGCCTCACACACTCAAACATTCCCCGATGCGCAAAACACAAGGGCCGCACCACCTGCCATTCTTTCTTGTCTTTTGCAAAACAGAACCTGACCTACAAGGGCCGGCAATCCGCCAGTTCCCCCCACACCTGTTTACAGAGCTGTTTAGAGGAATGCAAGCAGAAAGGGGTCTGAAATAAAAATATCTAAAGCAGCTCAGATGGAAAGTATTTGTTTCCATAAATTCCGGCATTTGTTCATGAATAATTGCCTGGGCTTTCTCTAATGCTTGGGGAGGGAGGTCACATATTAACCCCTAAAAGTAATGTTGATACGTATCCAATCCGGTTGCTCAACCGGCCCGTGTGTATAACTGTCTCCATCAGTAACAAGAAAACAAGCTTCCTTCATTTAGCTTGCCAAAGCCAGGTAGAAAAGGGCATGAAGAAGAAACAGTAAGATTGTGGAGATTTTACGTAATTTATGTACTCTCTGCCTGTGGTCAAGATTTTACTTCATCCTAAAGTGATCCTCAAATTTAAAGAATTCATTAAAGATATGAGTTGCTTTTTTTTTTAAACTTTCTATCGTAAAGCTCCATCCTTCCAAATTAAAAAATAAAAAAGAGGTGGGGAAGGGATCATATGAAAGCCAACAGGAACCCCAGTGGCACACACTCAGAACCATTTCCTATGTTAACACTCATTCTGTGCTGTGTAATTGCAGGCCACTTATCCAAGCTCCCCGTGACATCCGGATCACAGTGGAATAATAGTTCTTACAAAACTGTCACCGGGTTCACCACTGAGAACTTGCGAAGCCAGGGGGTCACATTTAAATATGTCTGGTGGCATCACTGTTAGAATATTAGGACATTAGCTTCTTCTGGTCACTTCCACACTGAGAACCACAGTGGCTGGCTGTCATGACCAGGATCGAGGGAGATTTTTACCCAATCCCAAACCCGTAACCAAGGCAAACGTTAGACAAATAGTGAAGCGGACAAGCTGGGACTAAGGAGGCAAAGCAAGGGAGACAGGCGGTGCAGACCCGCAAAGAGCCGCCCAGCAATCCTCAGTGGCAAGGAGAGTCTAACACTGGGCTTCGGAGGGACCTTAGCCGTGCTCCGTCGCAGAGAACAGGAATTATTTATTAACAAGGAGCTCATCAATAAACAAAGGAGTCGACTCTATGAACTCATGTTAGAATTCTGAGTCCCCTCAATTTGTTCGCTTTTCGATCCTTCATTGATTTCCCGCAAAGACCATTTTCGTAATACTGTAATGAAAATAAGGGAAGCCCAGAAGATGTTTGTTTGGCTCCGAGATATCCTGAGGAGCAGTAAAAGGTCTGCTGTTTACTCAGGGTGGCAGAGGCAGGCTCACAGCCACCTTGGCCCTGACCTCTCACCTTATTCTCCATGTTCTGCTTTACGACTTCCTGCACCAGCACGTCCGCCAGGGTCTTGAAGTCCGCCGCGAACTTCTTGTTCTTCTCCGCATCTTTCTTCTCCTGGACGAGCAGCTGGAAGAGGGCCTCCTGCTGCCGGCACGCCCGGGCGATGTTAGCAGCCTTCTCGGAGACGCGGAGCAACTCCCGAAGGACGTCTGACATTTCTAAAGGTTCCCCCGCCCTCTGGCTCCTCTGGCTCTCGGCTGGAAAAGCCCAAGAATGTGAAAGAGAAAGCGGTGAGAATCAGGGTGCCTCTCCCAGGAACGCCCCCGCTGGCAGCAACACCAGCCAGTGGGCACCCCATTTTCAGTGTGCTGACTATTGAAACTTAGTTCTTAAATCTTGTAAAAAAAAAAAAATTACACTCTCAAAAGCAAAGCAAAGCAAAACAAAACAAAAACCATTACCCAAAGAACTGAATTTCCAGGGAAAGAAAAAAAGTCTTTGAATAAGAATCTATATTGCAAAGCCCTAGCAAGACGGAAGTGCCAGGGCGTCAGAGGAAAGCCAGATTCTTCTAAGGACCCTAATCATAACACAGCCTTACCATGAAGATAAGCACAGCACTCTCTGTGAGAAGGGCGAGGGTGACAGTCACACTACCACCTCTATGTGGTAAGCGGCAGAGTGGCAAGCATTGGGTCCTGGTGCCACTCTTGGGCGTGCAGCATCTCACAGGCAACTAGGCTAAAAAAACATTCCAGAGGCAAGTGTCATCCTCCACCAAGTAGAAGCCTAAACAGCGTGAGGGGAAAATTGCACCTTGCCAGGACCTGAGAGCTCTGGACTTTTAAGAGCCACGTAGTACGATATGTCTTTCTTTCCCTCCCCTTCCTTCCCCTTCCCTTCCCTCCCCTCCCCTCTCCTCTCACACCCTCTCCCTCTCTCTCTGCAGCCTTGACTGTCATGGAACTGTCTCTGTAGCCCAGGCTAATCTTGAACTTAGAGTTCTGCCTCCCAAGGGCTGAGATTAGAGGCGTGCACCGCCACACCTAGCGGCCGAGGTCTTTCTACTGGGCTTCCCTGGAAAGGCTTCCAATTAGCAATGGTACTCTTGTTCAAAGTGTGAACCGTTCCGCTTCCCTTCAGAGAGAGCAGCCGTGAGGATTATCTGCCCCGCGCTGCAGTTCCGGAATGAAGCTTAGGGGGTTGAGTAACTTCTAAAGGGTTGCACAAGGCTGAGAGGTGGGGCTCCGGATCGCCCGCACACAACACAAGGCTACTTCATTGTCTCAACTGTTTCCTCTATTAAAAGGAGCTTGAGGCTGGGAACCTACTCAGCCGTGGAAGATGCTGACGCAGGGGCGTGGCGAGTTGTTATAGCTAGTTTGTCTAAATCTGTTTCCCTTATGGCCCGCTGCCTGAGGAAATACTTCCTCAACAGAAAGGAAGGAAATGTGGGTAGAACAAGGAGATATCCCTCTCGTTCTTCTTTATCCCTGGGCATCAGCAGGAGGAAAGATGCTAACGCTGATGATGGGCCCAGAAACACACAGGTTCCCAAGGAGCCTCTGGCATAATTGTACCAGATCCCCTCCACCTCTCTCATCAGTCGGTACTCTAAATCTTAGCTTAATCTGTGGTAAGAAAATAAGAATTAAAATATTTTCATACAAGGTAGACTAAAATTATTTAAAGTAAGGCTTTAGGATGACATTTTTCTCTTTTTTGAGGCAGGTTTGGTTCTCACGCTGTCCAAGCTGCCTTACACTTGCTCTGTACCTCTTGTGCTTGATTCTCCAGCCTCCCCTTCCCGTCTACGATTGCAGGTGTGTACTAGTTTCTAGTCTACTTTCTATTGCTGGAATAATGGCCATGGCTAAACCAACATGGAGAGGAAAGAGCTTATTTGGATTATACTTCCTGGTCATAATCCACCCCTTGAGGACATTCAAGGCAGTAACTGAAGCAGGAGCTGTAGATGAATGGTGTTCCATAGCCTGCTCCCTGGCTTCTGCCCAGTTAATTTTTTCATAAAGCCTAGGACAGCCTGTATAACGACAGCACCACCCACGATAGGCTGGGCCCTATGTCAGTTAGCAATTGAGGAAACGCCCTCACAGACACGCCCACAGTCCAGTCTGTCAGAGGCAGTTCAGCTGAGGTTCCCTCTCTCTAGATGCACCAAATGGACAATAAAAACTAACCATGACCACCACATCTGGCCTAAAGATTATCTTGTATGTAAGCTATGTGTGCCGGGGAGGTTTCAAGTGTATGTGGGTGAGCGTGTGTGTACATGGGTGTGCATGAAGGTACATGTGTATGGAGGTTCGTGAACACATGGGTTTGCATGCGTGTGTAGATCCAGGGTTGATATCTAGCATCTTTCTTAAACACTTCCCCACGTTATATTTGAGACAGGGCATCTCATCTAACCTGAAATCTACAGATCGATTAGACTGACTGGCCAGCCAGCAAGCCCCAGGGATCTGCCTGCTTCTGCTTCCAAGTGCTGGGATCAGGAGGCATGTGGTACTCTGTTTTATATGAGGGCTGGGGAGCAAACTCAAGCCTTGATATTTAAGGAGTCTTGTCATTGTAATGAGGTTTTTTTGTTTTAGTTTTTTTTAAGGGAGTGTTGCATATGTGTGTGTGTGGTACATGTGTGTGCAGGTGCACATATGTGTACACACATGAGAAAATCAAAGGTCAACTTTGGGTGTGCTCAATTGCTCTGTACCTTGCTCTTTGAGCAGGGTCTCCCACTGAATCTTGTGCTCTCTTTTGCAGTATGTCTGGCTGACCCTGAGTTCCAGGAATTCGCCTGTCCCTTCTGTTCACCCCAACCCCCCAGCTAGGGTCACAGGTGAGCACTGTCACCATGCTCAGCTTTCTGGGTCCTGAGAACCAAAACTCAGGTCCTAGCAGTTGTGTGACTTTCAGATATTTGAGACGGGTCTTGCGAACCTGACCATGCTGACCTTCAACTGGATATACAGTTCAGCCTAACCTTAAACTTCTGATCTCTTCTCACCTCAGACTTCCAAGTAACTGGGGTTACAAGCCCAGCTAATAAAGGCATTTTAAAAAAAGAAAACAACTAAAATTGAATCTATAAGAATTCTAGGGCTCCTTGGAATGGTCTAAGCAAAATATGCCTATGAATAAAACTTTATAGATCTATGGGATAATACAGTTAGAAAGCAAGCAACCACAACTACTTTGTAAAGGTCCTGTACTCCGAGACTCAATCCTGTTAGAAGGGTCACTTTGCTTTGAGGTGGACGTGTCCATCAATAAAAGTAGCATTCATATGGCAAACCCACTTGAAAGAATTTACGGCATCTAATATAGAAATACTTGCCACAAGTGATGTTATAAAACAGCACAAGCAGAGAGACGCATACATATCCTTACTATAACTCATGCGCCACAAGAGTATAAATTCAGGGACCACTACTTTGATCAGCAAATATTCTGCATTACTGTAAGAGCAAGGAGTCAACAAAGCAACAGTATCTGGGGTCTTATTTAGAAGCAACACGGGGGATATAAAGCTCACTTTGAACTTGAGCAAGGTACATATCAACTGTTAATCGCATTCAATGGCTTCAAAATCAATGTTTTATCTAAAAAGAAACCACTATACCGGTTCCCCTGCTGGGTAAGCCTCTGCTCCATTGCCTCTGGGAACCTGGAATTCCTCTGTTCTACTTCTGGCTTATTCTGGTAACAGTCATCTTCCCTGCCTGAGCAGATGTTTCTTAGCAGGTACAGGAACTTGGCCAAGAGGAGAGAACTTGCAGCTCTGAACCATGGCCTGTGATGACCGGGGTACGGGCTCTAGAAACTCATAGCACTGCATCTGGGTTTTCAGGTCCTGAGCTGCCATATGTCAATCTTAGCCTTTTTTTTTTTCTTCTGACCCAACACACCGCTCGTCCCATTTTGTCAGATTCCAGATGGTTCTGGGTTCCTTGGCCAGGGTCAGTGGAGACTTTCCCCAGCCAGCCCAACCAACACAGTACGTCTCCAGCTCACTCCCTCTGGAGTTCCCGGTCTCAAACAAACCACCTCCTACAGCATGGGTACGGAACTTTCTACTTTTCTGGCAGCTCTGCAAGTTTGTACTCCTTGTTTCTGGGAGACGGAGGCAGCTAAGCCCAGCAGGGTGAGGCCATCTGGGACAACACAGAAGCCCTTTTGTCTCAACGAACCATTTTATATTTAGCTGGCTGACCTACTACTTTCTGGTGGGACATCTCATTCCTTCCCCCAAACTCAAATTGTTGGCCTTCACCCTCATCTCTGCCCATTTATCGTGAGCTCATCCAAGGCAGGTAAGAAAACAGCCCAGGGCACATTGCTCTTAGTTGGAACTCTTGACGCGAGTCATTTCTGAAAAGAGTCGGGGAAGGGGGGTAACATCAGCAAACAATCTCTCCAGTTTTCTATGGGAATTATCTCTCAAATTCCCTTAGAAAGCTAATTGAATTTATACAACCATTAATTGCCTCGTTGCTCTCTTTGGGGATGGTTGGCACCTGATGGTAAGAATCTTAATGAAACCAGATAGGAAAGATGATGCGTGCACAGGGCTAGGCAGAGCTTGTTCTAAGTAGTGGTTGTTTCTATTTGTAGGTCTGTGTGTGTGTGTGTGTGTGTGTGTGTGTGTGTGCGCGCGCGCGCACGCATGCACACACAGGGTGCTCCTTGAACTCAGTTTGGCCATATGTCACTATTTAATTGACAGCTGTTTTCTTTCCACTCTCAGAAAAACCCTTTTTTTCATAAGCAAATGAGCAAAGCCTGTGCTCACACTCATTGTAAGGCGTGTGCTAGGTACTTGTTCAACGTCCAGCGATGTCCCTCTTAACCAAATGCATGACGCTGGCGATGGGGCTAGCCAGGGGCCTCGATCGCGACAGGTACCCAGTTCTTCTTGTATTCATTTGCTGTTTAAGACTGGACAGCCTCCCGTTCAGAGACTGGCAACTCGTCAGGGTGAGGGTGTCCTCACCTGGCCTCTCTGGGGTGGCCATGTAACTCAGGCACGTCTCCCTCTTCTGAAGAACTCAGTCAGGCTGGATTAGGACACACCCATGTTTTGGGCTGTGTTTTTACTTTTTTGGCTCTTTTGAGGGGGCCTGCCAACCAGCTCTGAAATAAATCACGTGGAGGCTTATTCTTACTCATGGATGCCTGGCCTGAGCTTGGCTTGTTTCTAGCCAAGTTTTCTTAAATTATCCTGGCTATCTTT